GAGGTAGGTGGCCGGTAGGTGGCCGGTAGGTGAGCGGTAGGTGAGATGTGGTAGGTGGCGGTGCCACATTACAAAATTGCCCTTTTACCTTAGTTCATTAATTGGGGGTCAAAATAACAGAAATTAAATCAAAATTATTGAATATTAGAAACATCTAGAAGGTTGTATTTGGTAAAGTGTCTCTTTGTATTCCACATCCATTAAAAACAAGAAAACTTAATTGTGGACTTTTTAGATTATGCTAGCATATGAATGATTTCTAGAATATTGTGCAAGTATAAATAGGTATCTAGTCTGTCATTAGATATAATGAATGAAAAATAGTAAGTCATCTTCCTTGTTGCCCGCTCAAGTGTCTCATTCATATTTTTTCAGCATATATATTTATGTTTTATCCATTTTATACAGTCAAATCTTGATTCGGTTATTTCTACTTGTTTAGAATTCTCTCTACCTATCGTTGGCTATCCCTTTTGGGCCATCTATGTGCTTTGTCTTCTCATAGTCCCTTTTTGTTGAGGGGTGAGCTACCTCTCAGGTTATGATAATTTACGCTCTGCTCGATAGCCTGGTGATGTTGTGCTAAAATGAATTCTCTCTTACTAGGACCAAAATAATCATTGTGGGACCTATTTTTATATTCATTGAACCTATATGGAAGGAAATTTATAAATTGCATGAGTTAGTCCAAGACAATTTTACTAAATCTTTCAAAGAAGGTCATTTAGCTTGGTCTCATCTTCTTCGAGATCGCTCTCCACTTGGTCCCCGTAACAAGCTTAAACCAAAGGCAGATGGACCTTTCTGAGTCTCTAAACATATTAACAATAATGCTTAACTAAATTGCACTTCCATAAGATCATAGCGTATCAACCACCTTTAATGTTGCATATTTATCGCCTCACTATAAGTTAAATTCCGACTTGAACCCCCGAGATAAGTCCTCTTCACCCCGGGAGAATGATGTGGGAGTTGGAACGAAGGCTCTTAGATTGTGTTAAACTTGTAATTAGTTAAAGTTTAGCTAATTAATACCCTTTGTGCTTTTTCTTTATGTTATTTTTTGAGTTTCTTGTACCGGATAAGTGTATAAATTGGTAAAAGATCTTCTTCCAAACTCAACGATGAAACAACAATAAAAATTTCAGAATAAAAACCATCATATGCTAGTTTTGATGCATTTAAGAAAAAAAATTATTTTGAACATGTAAATATGAAGATTTTGGTGTTAGATACGTAAATAATTTGGAATTGCGTGCTATGTATGTAAATTTCTGAAAGCTTTATTGTTATCTGTGAATTAAGCTGTTGTAGCCATGCAGGCAGAAGAGGTTTGTAATGCTCTACTAAATAAACCAGTTCATATCTCATTTAAGTACAAATTTAGTGACTAAAATAAATTATTTATTTTTATAAGAAGAAAAAAAGGATATATAATTTTTTCTGCTAATTTCTTCCAAAATAGTTTTTAATTTTCTTGAGTTTAAATTATTCTTTTCATGAATTGAAAGTTGTATATCGTTTAATTTATTAACAAAATCATTCATTTTATTTAATTTATTTAAAGCATATGTTGTAAATTTATATGAATAATTTATGGAAATGTCTCTTTATTCGTATTTTTACCTCGTATTTATGGATGCATGTTTTGTATGATTACAAAAAGGAGTGAACGGTTAAGAAAATTGTTCTTAATGTCATTAGGGTTCTAATTGATTGTATAGATTTTATATCATATTTATATTACAATTTGAATTTTGACATTGCGGTAATTGGTTGTTCGGCTGGCTTGAAGTCAACCAACTGAAGCGATCGGTTGAGTGACATCTGTGCCCTCTGGGAGATGCGTTGTACAGTCGAGGTGTTTTGACGTATGACGATCTTGCTCGGTGTTTTTAGCACAGCCGAGGTGGTCGTTTGGTCTGGACACGGGGACGGTCCGTCGAATTTGATTTGATAGTTTTTTTTCGTAGTTCGTCATGACTCATTTTTTGTTCGGCTCGAGTCTTACTGAGCTCGTGTCTCGCCTTCCTGGTTGGTTAGTCAACTCTGTCGGATCTCCCAAACTTGCAAAGTCTTAAGTGAATATTGTCTCAGCCCAGCAAGGTATTCGACGAGACTCACTGTCGTTATGATTCACACCCGGTTGGTTCATCACCTCGACCGATCCCACAATCTTGCAAGGTCATAAGCCAATCTTATCGCAATTCACGTTGGGTATTTAACGAGACTCGCTTTCGGGAAGATTCATGTCTCGCTTTCGACGGATCTTGCCACTACCGAGCGGGGAACCATCTCTGGAGTTTGAACCTATCGTGGGTTTAGAGACGCGGCTTCATGCTCAGCCTTGAATCATCAGTGGATTGCTTACCTCGAAAGAATATCCTTTAATCTTGATCATTCGTTCTCTTTAATTAGCGCCGGTATTTTTTATATTTACAAATATATTATAATAAGTTATCAAACTTGAGAAATCAAAATTTGATCATTACTAATACTAATATACAAAAATTCTAGTTAAAATTTCTCCATCCGTAGTGACTTTTTGGGATCAGATGCTCCCTCGCACGATAAAAACAAAAAAACTATAGCCTTAAATCTTAAAGGTAAGATTATGCAACAATAATATCGTGAGGCTATTCTTAAACAGCAATGCAATAATTTCACGACGAGCGCAGGAACATAAGCAACAGCCGACCGGCGGGCCGACAACTCCTGCCGACAAAACGAATCGCAAAGCTAACGGTGAGCCGAAGCACGCCAAACCGCTAGGTAACTCGGGAACCGATACTGGGTGCGCAACGCGTGCATTGACGTGGAGAACTCGCACGTGCGTGCGCACGATCGTACTTCACCGCGGAAAGCGAGATCCGCGCGCAGCAGCGCACGTGGAGCAGCAGGTGGACCGGGCCGCCGCACGTGGATTGGGCCCCCAAACATTAAAAAATTTTGGATGTTTTCCCGCGTTTGCACCCAACGTGCGCGTCGTTTGACCGCCTCATTTTCTTATCAACCAATAAACTCCCATGTGGTCTTTTTTTTTTTTAATAATAAATAATAAAATACAGTAATTGATTTTATGATATTAAGGAAATAATCATCTTAATATATTAAGGCATAAATCAGAGTATCGTTGATTTTGTCTCTTTTTTTTTTTAAAAAAAAGAGAATATAATTAAGTTAGGCTGACTTTTAAGTAATTAAATATATGACTTGCTAGCAGACTCTAACTAAGTTAACACATTAGTTGACACACACACACAAAGTATAAGTGTAAGATGCAATATGAAATGAATATCTAAAATTATATTTTCATGAGTATTCCTAAATAGCAAAGATGTTTCTATTCAATTTTATTTAAAATCAATTTTATTAATTTAAATACACTATATTTCTAAGATGTAAATGCAATATTTTCTCTATATTAATTTTAATGTGCGTGTATGTGCACGCGCGCGCGTGTGTATATAAATATACACCAAAATTATAGGCACAAATTTCAAAGAGAACGACAACCAATAATACAAAACTAACTTTTGAAGCAGGCAATCAAATGACAATTCAACGCCAAGCATGAGAAGTTACATTTTTAAACTTGGGATATGTCAAAGCTCTAAAAATGGTTTCCTACTCAGTAGCGACAAGATTCGCTGAGTGTGAGACATAAATCATCCCCGTAGTAAATCTTGTCGGACACCTCGTATAGGCAAGTGACAAAATCAGCTCCAAACCTTGTGAGAGAGGAGATATGGTTGATGCGACAAACTGACAAGATAGATGAGACACAATTCTATTAGACTTGAGTTGGACGACAAGTGAGCCACAACTCACTCGACAAAAAAAAAAATAATAATCCATCAATCGACCGACTAACCGAAGCAATAGGTCTCGCAGAATCTATTGAAAAGACCTCTCGACAAAACGAACGATCATATTTAGACAAACCGATTACGCCCTCTCGACAAAACGAACGATCATATTTAGACAAACCGATTACGCCCTCCCGACATAGACATATTTCAGCCAACCGTCTGATACGATTGATGACCGGCCGACCTACATCATTCACCTAAACTCATATGCCATTGTAAATCGTTATTTCTTGTCAATATTAAAACGAGTTGTTATCATTATTGTTCCCATCTTTCTCAAGTTTTTATTATTTTTTTATGATACCAAAACAAATTGATTTTTTTATAAAAAATTAGCTTGCTCCTGAGCTAATTCAAACATAAAATTCAGCCTTATATTGAACTCAATTTTGGTTAATTAGTTAAGCTCAAGCTAATTTTTTTTTAGGAAAACTTGAGCACAATGAACAATATACACAATTCAAACCCACAAACTAATGATAAAAAAATTAAATCTTCAAATATAGTGAATGTGGTTTCTTTTATAAATAATATAATGAATTTAAGCGAGGCAAAAAATTATATTTTATTAAATAAAAAAATATTATATCTATTTACGTTAATGCAGTCAGCATAGGCTCGATGAACTCATATAATTAAAATATGTTAAAAAAATAATTTTTACAAATAAAAATAATAATAAAATTGCTACCCATCCAAAAATAGGGTTAAAAAAATTTTAGAAAATAGTGACACGTATAGATCACGTGCCATCTATTTAATAACAATAACGAGTTATTTTTACTTAACTAGCGAGCCATCATGGATAATTTCAATTAGAGACATCATTTCTTATTTTAAACCGATTATTAATTACACGTGTCTGCAGTGTGCGGTTCAAAATAATTGAAACAGTAAATTAAAAAAAAAGAAAATATATACCCACTTAAGTTGATATTATACATATAAATATAAAAAAATTAAATATTATACATATAAATATAAAAAATTTTAATAATTAAATATGTAAATATATAAGACTTGTGGTGTGAATGTAGACGCCCCACCAAAAAAAAAAAATAATTATAGGAATCTCGAAGAAGTGAACCGCTTCTCACGTGGGTCAGTAGACCAAGCAGATCAACTGTTCCTATGCGGACATCTCCCCCAGACTTCTCCATCTCTTCCTCTATATATAAAACGATATCGCCATGAAAGCAGACCAAGAGAAAACACAGAGATGGAAGGAAAGTGTAAGCACTGGGGCCATAAGGAGACGAGAGGGGTATGTCCCTATTGCCTGAAAGAAAAACTGGAACAACTCACCATGGCTTCCTCCATGGCTTCATCGACCACCATTCTATCTTCCTCCACGGCTTCATCAGCAGCTTGCTCTTCTTATAAATCATCTTCTTTCGACGCGTCTCCGAGAAACAGACATCACAGTAAGAAGACTCTGCTGTATTTGTTTAAGGGAGGAAAGGAGGAGCCTCTGAGGAGGAGCAGTTCGCTGGCGTTTCCCATCGGAGAAGGAAAGGAGAGGAAGGAGGAGGAGGAGCAGGAGAAGAAGATTAAGAGGAGAAGTGTGAGATCTGGGAGCATGTTTTGGGCGAAGTTCGTGTCCGCAGGAGAGGGAAGAAGGAAGGAGAGGAAATTGGAAGGGCTTTATCATTCAAAGACGGCCAAGGAGAAGCCTTCTTCCAGATGGCCTATCTTCGTTCAGAAGAATTTAAATAAGATGTGAGGAATAAAACGATGATATCTGTACATATTTTTCTTTTGAACCCTTTTTTTTGTTGCAATTTCGTTTATATGAATTTAATCTTTGTTAGAATGTGATTATGTGTGATTTTCATTACCTTGTTCTTTGAGTGCTGAAGAAATTCTGGAATGAAGATTTAATAATGGTGGGGGAACATTGTAGTACTTGTTCTTGTCAAGCAGCCAATATCTGTCCCCCCTATGTTGGTGGAATTGATAGGCAAACGCAATTGATTACGATATTAAATTAATGTATGTTGAATTCAAAGGCGGACAGATCGATCGCTGCAGGAATTGTCAAATGAGGAAGAAGGTTGGCCACGGGACTGACTTTGAAATTCAGAAATCTAATGGGGTCCAGCAATTATGTTCTGAACAACGTCTATCATTTTCTTTCCCAGACAACGTAAGCATTAGCAGCAATGGAGAGAGAAGAATTTAGATGTAGAGAGAGAGAGAGAGAGAGAGAGCACAGCAGGGAGCGAAAATATAAAAAATTTAGAAACAAGGAGTTGCATTTACAATCATTTGAACCACCATTGTTTTTTGTTCAAACAGCTGACGGTCAAAATGGAGTTGAGGTATGTTTTGCTACAAATTGTACTGAACTTTGATACTTAATGCTACCTATGAATTGCTGTAAACTTTTGTGTTGTATATGTTGAATGTAACCATTTCACTATACTTGATTTCATTTGCTTTGCCTATTTCTAAAAAATTAATATGTTTAGAGGAACTTACAAAGCATCCCGTGCCATTTCCTGTTGAGGTGGCACACCAGATCATAGATGTCCTAAGCATCACCATCATCGGAGTCATATTCGTTATTCTGATATTCGCTTGGGCGCTGTTTGAGCCTCTGAAATATTTTGTCGAGGGACTCGGAGGAGGAGATACTATGAGCGCCTGGTGAGGTTTCCTGAATTTCTCGCAGGGGAAGGAACTTTTTTGCACCAATATTGGTCTTGAATTTTTGAAATCCAGATTTAATGGAAGCCCACTTTGTGGATAGACCTGAGCCTGATGCGATTGGATTTATATCTGGTTGGTTATGGGAGTAAAGTGGATCGAGCGAAGATACTGAGCTCAATGACAAGGCCTTTTTTGATGTCTCTGACTGCCTTGTTGCAGACTTATCTGCTAAGGCCTCTCTGATTGTGCCATGTATTTGGTTATCTTTTCTCTGAGATTTTAGGGTTTTTCTGCCTTCTTCCTTGAAAGGGTCTACTTCAGTGGCATCCTTGTCCTGCAAAGAAAAAAAAAGCAGATCAGCTTCTTATAACTACTATTACGCAGATCTCTCAGGTAAAAAATTAGAGCCAAACATGATGCTTTGTGGTGACTAAAATAATTGCCGGTCAGGGAAGGTAATTATCTTGAAGTTAACAATTCAGACCCTACAAAAACTTCTTCTATACAAGCCAGTGAGATATCTAGTTCTCTTAGTACAGTTTTAAAGCAACCCATTAAATGAAGTGCAAGCATTTGGGTGAAGTCTGCAATGCCTGCCAACTACTTGTATGTAGCTAATTTAGTCCAATAGTTATTAAATTTCCCCAATAGATTATTTAGTCTATTGAGTACACAAAATTTTCCAAATGGTCCCCTAGGAATTAAATTGGAGTCAATTTTGTATAGTCAAGGGACTAAATTATGATCAATTTTTGCATCACAAGTTGGGATCATTCTGTATCAATTTTGTATAGTTAAGACATTAACTAAGTGAAATGTGATACTCTTGAAATTAAATTACCAACATAAATATTCGGAAACTACTTTTATTATTAATCCTATCACATTTCAATCAATTCAGAAGTAAAAAGTAGCAGCATGCCGTCAGGGGTATGAATAATTTACATGACAGAAGACAAGAACATTAATCACTGCCCTCATAAACTAAAGCGTGATTGGGATCACTTATTTATTTATTCATTTTAATTTTTAATTTTTTGTTTATGTTTTTTTTTGAAATAAAACATGTTTATTACTGGTAGTTATTTACTCAAAACATCTTGTTAGATATGGCTCATATAGCAAATAAAAAACAAATGTTGGAGCGGAACAGAGCAAGCATAGCAAAGTGGAGTGGAAGCATCTGTCCAATCGGGGGAGTTACGTTATGTGGGTTGTCGTTGCCCCCGCAATACGATACAAGGATAATTTTGTAATTACATCTTGTACACCGAGGCTATATATATATATATATATATCTGTGTGTGTGTGTTTGTGTGTGTGTGTGTGTGATAATAATACTTGAAGAATGCACCATACAAACATATTCTTAAAATAAAAATGAAAAACAAAAAATTGTCCCAAAATATGCAGCACGTCCTGAGTGTCAAGCACAAAAATGAAAGCAGGTCATACCAGCGACACGTTGCCAGATTCAAGATCCACACTGAAGTTGCCAAAATTTCTTGCTAATGGGATGACTTGCTCGCCAACGTTATAACCTTTTTCAAGCCAAGAACGCTCTGTATGGAGAGAAGTGGCCGCATACATAAGTTAGAGCTTTGATGTGTATGCGGCTCGTGCAATTAAGCAACAACAGTAATAACAGAAATATATATAGGCAGTGCGATAAATGTAATTATTTAACGGCACATTAAGGGGGTGTTTGGCTTAAATCCAGCCAAATATTAAAAAAAAAATTTTAATCCAATGTTCCGTTAAATCCATTAAATCAATTTTTTTCACATTTCATCTTTTCTTTCAGTGTTCCGTCTCTTTTGTGATGGAAATCCAAATTTCATAAATCTAATAGCGAGACAGATTTAAGAATTTCTTCCATCGTGTGTTATCTTCATGGGCATCTCTATCAATAGAAATCCGGATTTATTGGATTTACTAAATGCTATTTAAGGTAAATAGGGTTGCAGCCAAACACCCCCTAATAAAGATTTCTCTCAATAGTTCATAGGGTGTGCGAGGGAAAAAAATATTACGCCTGCACGTTTAGACAACCAACCACCGGGCATCACGCCAACCAGCCCTGTTATGTATGGCGACATGGCATCCGGCGGTTGGCCGTCCAGAGCGCTGTTATGTATGGCGACATGGCATCCGGCGGTTGGCCGTCCAGACATGCAGCATCTGGACATAGAATTTTCTAATGCTAGGGAGGGGGGTTAATGTGAAACAACAGGACAAAGTAAAATTCTCAAGCTTGCCTTTTTGCAGGATAATTATCCCTGATTGATCAAAGCCATTCATATCCTCCTCTTCATTTCGGAATCTGAACCTTTTCCAGCTTCCAAAATAATCAATCACTCGACCAAAAAAGTTAACTGCAACCAGCACCGTGTAAATAACCATAATGAGAGGGTATATTCTATTAAAGCCTTGACCAAAGAAAGGAACAGCATCGTCAATGTTTCCCATCCTCTGAAAAAGAAAATCAGAAGTAAATCAGCATATCACTAGAACGAAATGCTCAGGAAGATAGTGAGGATGTAGAAGAATAATAAAAGAGAGAAATATACATTGATGTTCATAAACCTTAACTATGGGTGATTCGCAAATCAGTCGAAAAATGTACAACACAAATTCCTTATAGACACAAGTTTATGCACGAGATCAAAGTTACTTTTTGTAAAATCAATGGGAGTATATACAACACATTAAATATTATAAAGAACGAAATGAACTCATAAGAAAATACACTCCCTTATTGAAAATTCATTTATAGGCTGTAAGCCTGTAATGGCATCCCCCTTCAAGATCTCTCCATATTAAGAAAAACAAATATCATTCAAATTTAAAAAATGCAATTAAAATTCTGATTGATTCTCGTAAATCCTTAATTTATGCTAATTTATATAATTCCAAATAAATTATAATGTTTAAAATGCTCCACAAATAACATTTGGAGTGCCTCCTAGTTCTTTACAAAAACAAGAATAAATAAGATAAAATTATGTATCATAACAATTAGCATTTAAAATTAATCTAGTAAGAGGCCATCTTGCTTGTGCAGCTTCAATCAGTTCCAATGAAATATAAAGAATTTCAAATTGATGGGTTAGGGTGAGGATTGAAATGTTATTTACAAGCATTTATTCCATTTACATCATAAGAAAGATCTAGGCAACAACACTCAAAAACATAAATAGGCAAAATTTAATTTGATGTGTAAGAAAAATTGAGAATAATCACCTTCTCAAAAACAGTTTTGTTATCTCTATCAAGACGAATAAGATTCAGGAAATTGTAAGAAATCGGAGGTGCGTATCTTGCAACCATTCTGCCACAAACAAATTAGTCATATCAAAGAACACAATCAACTAGTATTCCATTAATTAGTTAAAAGTTGAAGAGGAAAGTCATACGAGCATATCATGAGCAAACTAACTGAGCTTGTTTGTCTCGGAGTTAATGAGTAGAACATGAGCATTCCAATCTTGAACAACGAATAATATGTGCAAATACACATATACATAAGAGGAACAAATGCAGCAATCTACAAAAGCACATAGCAGGTTATATGGGCCACTGTCCGGGTAAGAAAACAGTATGGATAAAAATAACCAGAAAGAAGAGACTTTTCATATAAAGAGAATTATATTAACATGAAGTTCAAGTAGTATATTATAGGAATAATGTCAGCTAAGCATTGCTTATGCTAGCATTTTAACAAAACAAAAAATAACCAGCAAAAACAATCAATCATTACAAGCCTTTGTTTTGGCCTTAAATCGAATTTATTTAGATAAAAGAGTTATTTATCAATGGGTGAAGTGGAGTTGAGAAATCACAACACTTCCAAACCAGGGTAGTTCCATTACAACTAACCGCTACGCCAAGCTAGAATATTGATACTATATGGCAGGTTTTACAGCAACCAAATGATTTCAATGACATCAGATAAGGGTAATAACAAAGTCACGTTCATGGTTTTTTTTTTTTTAATGCAAAATTAATTAACTAAATTATTAAAAAAGTGTGATAAAGATATTTGGCAGGTTTCAACCACATAATTTCAATGACTCAGATAAGGATATTGGCTAAGGATAACAAATTACGTACAGATTTTTCTTTTTAAGCAAAATATATTAACTAAATAATAAAAAAAGTGTGATAAGAATACAAAAATGCCAAGACAGAAAGAAAAAAATACAACACAAAAAATATATAAATATTAATTTGGATCATCCATGAAGCCTAGTTAAAAAAAGTGAGCGGCGATAGATTTATGTTTGTTTCATGCCCCTTCTGCTATAAAGAAAATAAAATCTTTATACACCAAAGAGTTGAACTCTGAATGTTCCAATCAGAAATAAAAAACAATCAAAGGTGACTGATCATAATTTTATTCACAAACGGAATGAGGTTGAAGGATTTCAAGTACTCGAAGAATATTCTCAATGATAGTATCACCAATTGATGAAGTGGCCAACACCAAAGGGTTAGCAGAGTAAAAAATATCAGCTACTACCTCAGCAGAGAATCTAACCTTGGTGTCAAAAAGGCCTGAATTGAAGAGTGGAGATCTTCCACCAAAAAAAATGAGGATCAATATGAGTATCAGGTAGAAGGTTCTGTGCTTAAAAGTAAGATTCCTTAGCTCTGGATAAGCCTTTAAACCTTTGAAGAATTTATGCCTACAAATAAGATGCGGTGCAATATAAGAGATTTTTTACTTAAATTCCACCATCTGCTAATATCTGGATGAGGGAGACCTAATTTACACCTCATTATAAAAAAATGGGTTGTAACATCCAATTCCAAGACTTAAAGTCATAGAACCTAGTAAAATGAGCTTATCGTTGCATCTACCTACAAGTGCTTTCCAAAAATAGAAGCTATAGATTATAATATATAATAATTGAAATATACTAGATAGTAAAAAAAAATAAGATCTAAATGGGAGTGACATGAAGCTCCAAAGATCAATCCAAATGGGGAGACCCTTTTAACATGCGCATAAGGTCACAGATATAGTATGATCATCGTGAGAACAGTTTAATGTAATATGCTTCTTAAAAAAAAGCCTTACGAAGACATCCCGATTATCAATAAGCCCAATGGAGTAGTCGCTTATCAAAGTTAAATTTAAAATGAGCTTGCAAATTAATTCAATGTTTGGATGACCCAGAGAGAATTTACCATTAAGAGGGCAAAAGTCATAGCAAGCGCATAAATCTCATCAAAAAAGAGAGAAGCAGAACTACCTTGAAAAGGTGAAGGTTGAAGAGGGGAAAATCTTCGCAGCATTCGAACCACAAACAACATTCATACATGAGTACAAAGGTTGAGGTAGGAGAGGCGCAACCATTTAGGGGGGAAAAAAAAAAGAGAAACCTCAGGAAAAGAGGTGGCAACCTCACTGGAAGGTCATCCAAAACCCTAAGAGAGGTTATCGCAGAAGGTCTGATCTGATGAAACAAGAAATGAAGAGTTTCTTCTAATAGAGACAAGTAAAAGAGAACAAGCACAACCATAAACATGAAAAGCAAAAATTTACCATTCAACGGAGAGTAGAAGTGGGTGACACCACAAGGCCTACCCTATAGGCTACAAGGACAGAGAGCGGACAACACGCCAACCCCATATAGTGGTGTCGGCATCACAGATAGCCTGTGGACCTACCAAATCAAATTAGGGTTTGTAAGGCTTCAATCAACAATTAAATGCTCGGAGAGGGAAGCTGGTCCCACCAAATCCTCTCCAGATAGATCTCATACAATGACTATTCCTAATCCAACGATTTTCTGTTGCCTCGGAAGAACTGGGGCCAGTTGTAATGGAGAGAGTCGAATGGAGGATGCGATGAGGTTATGATTGACTGAATCACTAGGAAAGGGTGGCAACTCCCGATGGTTACCTGGTACAACTTCCTCGCTTCTATGTCAGGAAGAGCAAAAGAAGGATCATAGACTCAAGATTTTGATCTCTCAGAAAGCCTAGAGGCCATCGAAGCCACTTGAAACCAAATAGGAACAAACCTCCACAACTTCTATCTAAAATATCCTTAATCATGCTCTAACCCAAAGACCACATCATCAATGAAAGTTTGTTTCTTATTATAATTATTGAAATGCAGTTGCACAATTATAAACTTACTTGGTTGATGTGCCATATAAAGCTTACTTGGTTTTCCTCATATTTATTTGTTTAAGAGTTGTGAAAATATGAGTTTCAATGGATCAGTTTAGCAATTTAGCCCATACGTCTGACCCTTCTAAAAACCTAAAGGACTAGCCCTAACGGATAAAAGCATAACTGGGCTGACCCAAGTAGGTTCAGGGATAGGTTACTTATCATTTTGTGTCACTAACACTATTCACCATCATATGTTGAAAGATGCAAAATAAATAAACAAAAACATTAAGAAAATAATTTAGAAGTCATGACCTCTCATAAATATATTCAAGTATTTATCTGGGAAACAACAATATTTTTTGAAATAAATGTATCTGTTATACATATGATAGCATGAATCAAATTTGGTTATGCATCATAAACTCAAATTCAATTCCAAATGATCTTTTAGCACAATATCCTTAACTTGAAATCCCAACTCGACCATTTGCATGACTCCAATATCAAACGAACTTCTATACAAGGTTTTATTGGATAAATGTATAAATCTATAGAAGACTTAAATGGGCTCTAATATATACTAAATCAATCACCAATTTAGGTGGCCTAAGAAAGTAAGACCATGATAAATTTCGTAATGCTTAAATAAAAAACTTGAATGGATTAGCAGCCCAATTGACACCCCTATATATTAGAATGGTTCACACTTACCTTACTTTAAATCAACAGTGGTACCCAAACCACAGGAAAGACAGCCCTGGCAAAGTCTCCTGGGTATACATTTTATTTGGAAAACCAGGTGAATCAAAGGGAAGCAGGTTCTAAATATTAAAGAGATCAATGGCGGCAGAAACTGTACTTTCATCAAGACTTTCTAACCATTGGGCTTGACTACATGCCTCCTTCACCTCTCATTCCAGTGTCGGCACTTAAAAGGAGAAAGTTATGTTTGGGGGTCGCCCGTAAGAAGCTGTCGGTCGCTCGGAATCGAAATCCTGTCGCCCGCTTCGGAAGGACTTTTTAATTTACGTATATATATAAATAATTTTAGAAAAATATGAAATCAAACTGACCTCATATTTTTCACAGTTTAAATGAAAGAGCACTCTACCTCAAATCCTGTATCTATCCCGAGGGATAAACACAAGACTTGAGGATGAG